AGAAAGAAAGAAAGAAAGAAAGAAAGAAAGAAAGAAAGAAAGAAAGAGAAGGTGAGAGAGGGAGGTAGGGTGAGAAAGAGAGAGGGAGGGAGGAAGGAAGGAAGGTAGGGAGGGAGAGAGAAAGAAAGAGAGAGAGAAAGAGAGAGAGAGAGAGAGAGAGAGAGAGAGAGAGTCGGCTGCGTATCAGGTTATCTCTTTCGGTCGTTCCAATTTCTTACGCCAATATTGCGTCCGCCCTCGTTTATACAACATGGCTTTCCACTTTTTCTTTCCAAGGTAATTTTTCTCTGCCAACAACCGCTACTATGATCTCATCTCAGGAACTTTCAGGGACTTCACTCTAGTCTCCGCGCTATTCTGCTTCTTCGCGGCCCTGCTCGTCAATCCCTGCTACTCCGCACTACTCTCTGCGACTCTTCTAACCACACTACCACGACCTCTGCGACTCTACAACGATCTCCCTAACCAATGTCCTAATCAATCTGTTATTCGCGGCCCAAACCCCTGCTTATATCGAAGATGGGTGGGGTTGTTATTTAGAAGGTCTCCCCGCATAAGTGTTACAGACGATCGTCGGCAGCCCTCCTACCACCGTATCTTGTATCTTCCTACTAATCCTAATTTACCTTTCGCTTCCTCCCAGTCGACACTCTCACTTACATCGGCGGCCCGAACGGGACAGCCACTCACCACCCGAGAATTGTCGTTATCGGCCACCCTCGACTCCTCTTACCTGTGGCCAACTATATCCTGGTAGTCCCTATAATTCCGGGTAGTCTCGGAACAACCAACCATCATCCGAGAATTGTCTTTATCTGCCAACCTTCAACTCCCCTTTCGTCTGGTCAATTCCAATCTGGACACGCACATATTTCCGGGTAGCTTTTTTGCCAGGATGCATTAACTTCACCAACAATGGTCAGTCACTCGTCCGGAACTATTAGTCGCCAGGATGTCTAGCCCTTCGTTTTTTACTTCCATAAAAAAGGAAATAAAATTTTCAGTGACCTCTTCAAAAAAAAAAAAAAAAATAGGAAGAAATTTTTTTCAACTTTTCCCTTAAGCTAATCACTTTATCAATATTTCCAGTTAGTCCGTCAATTTCATTAAGTTACTCATAGCCTCAATTTTACTACTACTCGAACCATCCTTAACTGCTATTATTTTTATCTTCCTAATCAACTCATTACGCTACGTTAATTAACACTTATTTTAATTTCGCCGACTCTCTCTCTGTCATATAATCTTATTCTCTCTCTCCACTTCTATCTCTTCTTTCTTTCTTTCTTTCTTTCTTTCTTTCTTTGTCTTACTGAAACCAAGTAGTGTCTTTCTCCCTCTTTCCACGCTTTCAAAACGGAATAGTCCATATTCATGAGGTACTGGCAGGGCGTAACGGACGTGCGAACTAAGGAAGGGAGGGATAAGCACGATTATAATAGGATAATAACATTCCTTTGATGTTTGTTCGAATCGATAAATGTGGATTTTATTACGTCATTTCAGAATAGAGCGTTATTTGTTTTGATTTGCAAATCTGAAGTTTGAATCTGTGCTCACGTGATTGATACCAGCGTAATACTGATGTAATTTTTTTTTCCAATTAGGGATTTTCCTGATTGTTTTCAAACATATTAGAGAAACAAATTTTTTTGTTTGCATTTTTTACAAAAAGATTTATTTTCAATAAAGTACATGCGGAAAGCTTAAAAAAATTAAAGAAAACAAAAAAATTATTTCAAAATATAAGGATTATCCCAAATTGGGGAAAAAAATTCCTCCGAGAAAACCGACTTCTTCATTTCCCACAAGCACGTGGCGCATACACACACACACACACACACACACACACACACACACACACACACACACACACACACACACACACACACACAGACATAAATCTAAACACATACAGTTTTTTCTTCCTTTTTTAAAGTTATCTGAGTACACGTAATGTATTTTTCTCTTTCTCTTCTTTTGTAATTTACGTTATTCTTTATTTAAAAAAATTCCTCCGAGAAAACCGACTTCTCCATTTCCCACAACCACGTGGCGCATAAAACCCTTCATCATTTGAGTTCATTTATTTTGAAAAAGGCAGAAACCTCAGAAGAACTAAGTGTTAACCACATCCATGACAGTTCTTAACACTGTCGGCTACACGCTTTAAACTATGACTTGTTCGTTAATCCCAGCTCTACAACTGGCGTCCAATCAAAATAGATGTCGTTCCGTATAAGATTGGATTGCTATCTACTAACCCTAATAAGGCCACACAATCAAGATAGAACTCATTGCAGTCATTAGGGCTTTTTTTTTCTTTGCTCAACAGCGAGGCGAAGTGGATATTTATTTTAGAAATGAAAGCATTTAACGCTTCACATGAATCCAATATCTAAAGGCAAATCATATAATTTGTCGAGTTACGCGTTCTACATAGGAGAGAAGCTCAGTGTTGTCAGGCAAATTCGTCTCCAGATAACGATGACTGAACGTTCTTTGTTATTTTCTTTACTGATAGACTTTGGCAGATGTTGAGGTGCCAGCGCACATGATTCCGGTTGCTAAAAGGAGTTCGGTGGTGCCGCGGGAAAACACTGAATGAAGTCCGAACTCTAGCTGGAGAGGCATGTGTTCATTCTACGCAAATACCCACAGGAAAGCCATGGATCTTGCTTTCGACCAGATCAACAGATATTTTTGTTAGAAAAGGTGTATAATTAGTGAGCCACGTCTTGTCAAATCAGGAATTTTCCCTTGTTACCATTATTACTTAACCCAGGGCTTTTCTGTCTTTCTAGAGGAGATAAGCACATCTTCGTACGCTCCCCTGTTGCTGTCACAATCAAAGCAAATAAAGGTCATCCTGTTAAGGTAGTGATGACTGCATTTTTGTCAGATATTTTTTAAAGTAATATTTTATTTTTTAGTAAGACATCAGTGCATTCTCAAAACACCAGTTGCACCTCAAGGCAGGAGGCATGAGTTTGTCATATTTAATTTTACTCAATCCAATAGTTAGCCGTTTATATTATTTGAACACGTAGTCTTTTTATTTTAAGAGAAAATGGTTTCACTAATTTCCGCTTTTGGGGGCCAGTCGATGTTTTCCTCAAAAGGCAGAATTAATTAAACAACATTAACTTTTGGGGAATTAATTGAGCAAATTACAATGTCAGCACGTTTAGTAGTTAAGGTTATCAAATTAGAAGAATTGAGAAGGTGTTTTACGTCTTGTGCAACGGGCCAGCCTTATGCACCCACCTCTCGCCACAAACTGCATTGGGTTGCAATCCAATTTCAGTTACCAATTTATTTTAACAATTTATCTTGATAAAAGATAGCAGTTGCAGTTACACCCACTAGCTTTTGCCAGATATAGGCTTATATATATATATATATATATATATATATGTGTGTGTGTGTGTCTGTGTATTTAGGCAGCAAATTCTCTTTTAGACATATCTGATTGAATAAATTACAGACATTATGTTAGGTACAATACTATATGTTCATTAGTATAAGTATTTATATAAAGATATGCGTTGTTTTCTATTACCGTAATTTTTTCATTATGCTTTTAAATGCAAAATGGTTGACAATGTGCCGAGCGTTTATTAGAATGTGAAAAAATTATCCATTAGGGAATTTTTTTCTCTAAGTTATAATGTCATAGTCACGCACACATTAAAGCGTGAAAATCTTTTTCTTTACAGGCATTTCAAAATATTACTGCAGTATTCATAGATAATTCTGTTCAGTGCCGGCTTGCATTCCTGAAGATGATCTTGGAAGAAGATCGAAAGTACTTGGGAAATGAAAATAAAAGAAATTTAAACAACTATAACACATTTCTCTCATCCTTTAACATCTATACTCGGAAGGTAATTCGTGAGTATTAAAAATTAGCAGACATAATGTCTGTAATTTATTCAATCTATCAAACACACACACACACACACACACACACATATATATATATGTATATGGTATCATATATCTGACAATTATTTAAGACATTTTTATGTTTATACGTTCTTTTTATAGATACAAATATTTAAGTAAATGCTGTTTATAATAAACAGTATCAACGACATTTACCGGCTTGAATGCCTGAGAAATTTCGTTAAAAATGACTCACAATATACTGCAGTTAAGTTTCTTTATTTAATTCTTCTTCTGCTTCTAAAATTTTTTTTCTTTTCTGGACATAAATTATGTGGAAATGTTCTGCATGTCGAACACTTTCGGTTCTTCTTTTAGCCATTATCAAGAATGATTTTATTTTGACTTTTAACTTTAATCTATGGATTTTATTTTTTTCAATTAAAAATAAAAACAAAACAAAAAAAAAAAAAATCCTTGATAATGGCTAAACGAATAGCCGAAAGTGTTCGGGCATACAGAACATTTGGACAATTTTTACATAAATTATCTCCCGAAAAGAAGAGAGAATTCTAAGAACAGAAGAAACATTAAATAAAAAAAAAAAAAAAACTAAACTACAATACCTTGTCAGTTGTTTTTAATGAAACAAAATTATATATAAATTTAAGTTTGTTTTTATTATTTGCTTTCTTAGTAGGCTGCCGGGTCATGTAATTTATTAATTGTCTATTTGGTCAGCAGATAATAACGATTCAGTGACACAACGGGGTGGATTCATGCCTAATGAGAATTTGATAAATAAACAAGAAATTATAATACGGGTATAAAGTGAAGGATCAATTCTATATTACAATAATATAAAATCTGATCCCTCATTTTGTGGCCATAGTAATTTCTATATATTTTTATTCCAGAGAATGTAAATAAATCTAAAAAAATATGCCTATGCAGCTAATCAGTATTTCATTGATTGATTCGTTTTTTTGCGGCTTATCAAGAATTTTTGGTAAATTTGTAAGTGAATATAACGAATCTGATTTGAATTGGAACTCGGCTCTACGATTAACAATTCTGAACCTTTATCCATTACACCACCCGCACATCCAAACTTACTGCACCTGGTGTTCGCAAGCGGTCACCCATCTAAGTACTAACCAGGCTCGACGTTGCTTAACTTCAGTCATCGTACGGGAACCGGTGTTTCAACATGATATGAACGTAAAAGGCTTGTGTAAATGGATGACAGGACAGGGAGTGAGAGGGGAGGGGGATATCAAACAGACAAATATTACTAAAAACTACAAAGGATGTAAAGGTTGTGGAGAGCCATGATCGCCACCTCCGAAGGGACACGGCAAAAAAGTGACGTTAACTGCATTTCCGGAATCTTTTCTCATTTCATTCATGAATATCGATCGTAAAATCCGGTATTAATTTTAAAAATAAAAATAAAAAAAAACAGTATTTATTATAGGTTTCTATCTATAATCGATTAATGCTCCCAACTTCCAAAATTTCGTTATGAGATTGTGAGTATTAATGGGTTAATGAGAATGTATATATATATTATAATAATATATATAATATTATAATATATATAATAATTATAATAAAAAGAAAGAACAGAATATATAATCCGGTGTTCTTATTGATATTTTTATTTTTACAAAACAGTGCTCAATGTAAATTTAAAGAAATAAACATTATAAGTTAACGGATTCAAAATTTAAACATGGCGAAAGCCATATTTCCCTTGGGCATGCTAAAATTTTTTTTTAATTATATATTAAATTAAAAGATACAATAACTCCGTTTCATCTTCAAAACACTAAATATTTGCTTAATAATTAAATCGAAATTATGCTTTTAATTTAATTATATAATTAAATTTAAAGTTTTTAGCTTCCATTTTTTATCAACATGGTTACACTGTGTTTCTAAAAACATATTTTTTTAAATTTAAAAAATTTATTTTCATATATATATATATATATATATATATATATATATGAATATATTTAATATTTCTTAAATTCTTTTTTATATACTGGATACATTAATTTTTATATCAACGTTAATGGACAGATATATATATATATATATTTATATATATATATATATATATATATATATATATATATATATATATATATATATATATATATATATATATATATATATATATATAAATATGCATAATATTTTGATAATATATTTATACATTTATTAAATTGAATTGTATGTATGCATTGGTCATGAAGTATGTTGGAATGGTATGTATTGTGTGTACTGATATATATATATATATTTATATATATATATATATATATATATATATATATATATATATATATATATATAAAACACAAAAATCACACACACATATGCGTAACATACGTTTTCATAATATAAATATAATAACATCAAATTGTAAAAAAGGATTCATTTTTAATAATGAAAGCCTTTTTAATAAGAAAGAAAAAGAAAACTCAATAATATCAACTATGAACACGGCCACAGTGTGCTGATCGTGTTTGGAATATTAAACATTCCTATTCCTCTATATACATCCATAAAACAATCTATATATTTAGTTAAAAGTAAGATAAAATTTAACCTTTTGCTCATACCGAGGCGCCATAAACAATGATATTATTTGAAATGCTGTTATAAATGGTGATATACAGCAACTTAATGTATTTTATCAAATGTCATTAATCACGATTTAATATTGTGTTGCGTATAATAAAAGAGAAAATCAAATACAAACGCATTCATTTGCGTCGCCGAGTTTTATTTTACATTTTATTTTTGGCAGTTTTTTCTCGGAAACTGTTATTTTGAGTTTTTTTTTTAATCTCTTTTCCTGCGGCTGTTTCTTCTTTTTTTTTAAATGTAATATTTACACGCTAGCTATTTTAATAATGAAACATTTGAATATTGCAACAAATGCAAAGGACTTTTGCGATCACAATAACATTCATCAGAAGCAAAGATTGAAATGCTTTTTTTAGTCATCCTTCACATTGTAAAAACAAACCAGCAATCTGTAAGCATTTCAGATTACTTACTACTTTAAATTCTGTTTAACGAAGAAAGAATGTGTTGCGCCGAAAGAATTAGATGGATCCTGACATTTTTAATAAGTGTGCTACTTAATATTTTTGTTCCGGTATATATTAGAAAGGGTCGATATTAGAAAGGGTCGATATTAGAAGCGGTCGATCAGATAATTAGCATAAGTATGTCGACAAATTCCGGTCTGCAATCGTAGAACATCATTTAAAACTCAAGAGTGTATATAATCCTTCCGGGAAGACATGTTCTTATTTTTTTCTCTCACAGATCGGATTCCAACTATCGGTTTTTGAAATTAATTTCACTAAATCGAGGCAACTTCCCTTTTGCAAACATAAGCATTGATTGTTGAGACTAAATATGATTTTTTCAGAAAAAAATATCAAATTCAGAATATTTTTGATACACGTGTACTTTTTTCTTTGTTTTCATTTTTAGTCGGTGTACGCAATAATTTTATTTTCCTCGATCGAGTTCTGATGAGAGAGAGGAGCGATAACCGGTTCGATCATTCTGTTTTTTTTTTGTTTTTTTTTTATCTCCATGTCCGACGTAATTTTTTAATTGTTTTTTTCTTTCATACCCAAATACCAGAATTGTGTTTTCTTTCTTTTTTGTCACTTTTAATTATGTCCGTTTTTAGTGTTTTAACAATTTTATTTTATTTTTATTTTTTTACCTCTAATTCATTAATCAAATTTCCGTTTCTGAAACGAGAACTCTTGTATTTGATGCTGGGCCTTGTTCCATATTTTAAAAATTGAAATTCTGGCATTGATGACATTGAAATCGGCTTCATTATTCCGCTTTCAAATAATTACAGGATATATTCTCTGGATCGAGATCGACATGTATTATTCAAAGTTTCTCTTATGATCAACAATGAACCTATGAGCAATAAACAAACGCCAATACAACAAACAATTTCTCTGTCCGCTTCTCATTTCTCGAGGTCCATCTTGGGTAGAAGCGACGTGCCATAAACGAATTCCAATATGCCTTTAAAAACAGATTCCCTTTTATAATTTAACAAGACATTCTCAGAAATATTTAGCGAACTAAACTTAATGACTGCAAATTTGAAACAGAGTAAAGGGATAATACATGAAATATTTTTGCTTTTCTCAGAACTTCAAGTTATGTGCTTTGAAAAAAATAACATTAAATAAAATTAAATTAAATTTTTTTTTTTACAGAAAATTTCTTTGTGTTATTTGAAATAGGCCAAACATTTTTAAGCAAATTTTGAATCCGAATTATCGAAAAATTTTTTAGCTAGTTGCATTACAATACACACACACACACACACAACGAACACACAAACACACACACACAAATAATTTATATATATATATCTAAAATAACTTTTAAGCAACTTATTTCCCTTTCTGTCGATTGAAGTTTATAAAAGATTTTATAAACTTCAATCGACATTAATATGTCTGCTAGGTCAGTGAATTTCAAATGTTTCCTATTATAAACAATGAATAATATAAATTTATTATCTTTTATATATTTATATATCGTTTATATATATATATATATATATATATATATATATATATATATATATATATTATATGTATAAACCAGTGTAAGTTCCTATGGATATAAAAAAATACTGTCAACTTGAAAAATATACCAGCTGAAAAAAATTTATCGCAAATTTTTCTAAAAATCACAGAAATCTTTTATATTTTAATAGGAACATCGTTTTCTTTTCGGTCTAATATGCCATCTTCAGACGTGATCATATCATAATTGAACATTGATTAATTAAAAATTTTCAATTTATTGTTTCATTGAAATATATAATTTTTGGTAAGCATTAACAATTTCAGATGGAAATCATATGGTGTTTATCAAAATTTTTATTCATATGTCCAAAAGATGGTCTATTAGATTCTGGCGTCTGACGTTGACATTAAACATTAAAACAGCATAATCTATATAAGGAAAATTATTTTGTTTTTCAGTATATAAATAGCGATATATATAAATTTATATATTATATATATATATATATATATATATATATAGATGCAAATGTTTGCAAATCCCACCAATCTATGAGACGGCCCCCACTCTATTACATCTCAATTTTCAAAAGGTAATTTTCATAAAAATACAAATTTTATTGTAACCTAATTATTTACAATAATGGATCATATGCAATATAGGTGAACAATTCAACTAGAAAAATTGAAAATAAATACAATGTATCTAAATACAAATTAGAGACATGTCATAATAATAGATCATTCCATCTTAAATAAATCAACAATTTTTGTTGACATTTTTAACATCAACTTGAGATTTTTCTTGTTAAAATGTTGAAGAATTTTAATAAAATCAACATCATGCAGAAAAATATAGTGAATTTTATATAATGTTTTTTCTCGAGACTTAGCATGAGCCAAAGAAATTCACGGATTTGGACGAAAAAAAAAAAAGAATGACGTCAAAATCGGCGAAAAATTTTTCATCCTTTAATTAATCAGTTGTAGTTTAATTTAATATATATAAATGTAGGTAGAAAAAAGCAAATGTTGATAAGATAACAAGGGTCACAAAGCACTACTCGGAGTCCTCAATCAGGCTTATCCTACATATATTCTATATATATATATAAGGTTCGTATAGTACACACATATATATATACATCATATTATAAAGGACCTTCGAATAAGAATATATGCTTTAATGTTCAACAGCGACTTAGAGATTAACATAGTGTTTTGAAAAATACGTTGTCTTTGAACAAATCTGAATTTACAGGAATGGTTATTTTATTTTCAAAACAGCAGAACAAAATAAAAATCAGATCGACACTCAAATACATTTATATTAAAAATATCCAAAAAATGCTGTGAGCCAAAATATTGACTCTATTATTTTGACATTAAAAAATGAGGGCAACAATATACATTACAACATTACAACAGATGACGACAATATATATATATAAAATATAATATATATATATTTATATATATATCATCTCCAGAAAAATAGACAGATACTGATATATATTTAAAATATGTAATAAATATATATAATATAAGATGAGGACAATATTCCGAATATTGAAAATAATGTACATAATACCTCATACAAAAATATAGACATATAAAAAAGGCCGA